ATTTAAACCAAACGAAGATGGAAGTATTTGTCTCCAAATCCCCTGGTACAGCCAAAGGGTGGGGAGAGTCCACTATCCCTTTCCAAATGCTCTCACATGGCTACGTGTATACAGCCACTACAAGGGCAGTCCTACTCACTGCCTTCTCGCGTCACTATTGTTGTTTACGAAATTCAGAGGACGAAAAGTGAACGTCCAGTGCTTTATTCGAGTTGGTGGATGTAGAGGATCCACGTAGATTATTTGGAATACCTTGATTCCAAACCAATAGTGTACATGGGTTCAAGGACTCACTGGCGTAACAAATGGCGTATGAACCTATTATTCGTCACCGGCTACCATAGAATTGCATCTCTTAACGTTGCTCCACTATCTTATGGATTAGACCTTCAGGTCGAAGGCTCCGGGAGTGGTCCCCTAAAAAAACCACCTTCTTTGGTTTTGGCACCCGGTCAGTACCATAGTCCACACACAAATCAATTGATTTGTGTGGTGCATATGTATTCGGTGCCCTTTTATACCAATATTTATGTTTTCAAATAAATAATTAATGAAATAGAATACAATGTATCCATTGTATTTTGTTGCTTTGTAGTGTCTGTTATTATGTTAAGCCCATATACCTTATTCTAGCTTTCGGACAGCTCAATCTATTCATTCTACTTGTGTCACATTTTAACCTTTTTAATTATTCGCTTATCAATCTTGACTGTTTTTATATGAGCGCGTAGGTGTGTGTGTTCACTTCTTATCCTATTCATCACATGTCTGTAACTTATTTTTGTGTGCTTACCAGTCATCTCCACTGCGCGTCAATTTTGCTTCGCTTTTTTCTCTTCGCATCGTACCCTCGTTCGTTTGTCTGATCAACGATTATACAAAATCCAATTCTGTAGTGGTCGGTGTTCTATATATTCCTTAAACTCCGTATACAGTTCGTCTTGGTAACCGTCACTAAATAACAACGCTCCAACTGTATATTAATCAGAAGGCGAATACGAAATGTTAATTACGTTTATTGTTGGACCACACACAGATATCCGAAATTACAGATGCGTTAAGCTTGCATGAAATAGTTTTGCCGAAAGGCAAACAGGCAAGCGAGCGAGTAATCGATATGAATATGAATAACAAACGGACATATACGAACTCCAACTTACACGTATTTTTAATAACTTATACGATAGTTCTATCAGATATCTTAATTTCGTAAATTTCGATATTTCCCATCCTGTTACATTTGACATTTTTTTTTCACAAACACAGTCACTTTTGTATCTTTATTTGCTGGGGAGAGCTATTATAGCAGCTCAAGTTCTATTGTGTTTGTTCACATTTAATTCGGTTGTCATTTTATTAACTTATTAACGGACTGAGTCATCTTTATAACAACAACTTATCTATGCCATTATATCTTTATTATTGTTGCGAATGCATGAACATGTATGCTCGGCAAGCCTTACCGCCTATGCATTTATTCACGCTACTAGCCTTACTATTATCCGCTTAATTGATTCGATGATTCATTCATTTCACAATGTATATATATGTTCATGTTATTCATGTTCTCATTTATTGCTCTCGTCTCGCTCTATCGCTTTCTGGCTCTTGATCTGACGCTCTCTCGCTCGCTCGCGTGCCTGTTTGCTTTTTGGCACAACTCTTTCATGCAACCTTAACGCATCTGTAATTTTGGATATCTTTGTGTGGTCCAACAATAAACGTAATTAACATTTCGTATTCGCCTTCTGATTAATATATGGTTGGAGCGCTGTTATTTAGTGACGGTTATCGAGACGAACTGTATACGGAGTTTAAGGAATATATCGAACACCGACCACCACAGCTTTCTCTTCGACTACCTACATACAAGCTAGTTTTTGTAATTATTTTCAATTAATAACATAATATATTAACAAATAAATTGTTAATTAATTCCGTAATCCTTTTATGGTGTATGTGAGTAAGTTGGAAGAAAGCTAGAGGCGGTCAGACCAAAACATGACACAAATCCATGAACTCACTGACAAGTGGACTGAGCCATGCTGGTAGGTTTTGCTCTATGCTTGCGAAACCTGGCTTCTCCGAGTTGAGGATGTTAGACGTCTCTCTGTGTTCGATCATCGCTGTCTTCGAAGGATTGCTAATATCCAGTGGCAACACCATGTTAGTAATGCAGAGGTTCGGCTTCGGTGGCTTGGACATGTTCTACGAATGTCGTCCCAGAGAATTCCACGTCGTGCACTATTTGCCGACCCTGGGACTGGTTGAAAAAAACGGAGAGGTGGTCAGTGTATGACATGGTGTCGTGGTATGAAAGAAAGCTGCAAAGGGCTGGCTTGTGTTGGTCCTTCACGACTCCCTGGCTGGGGTCCGAGAGATGGTGTAACGCAGTGGCTAGAGACGTTATCAGATATGGCTCAGAATAGAAGCCAATGGCGATCCTGCTGTAACCTTCTTTTACTTTCTTCATAAAAAGTGGTTGTATCCTCCTTAAATGTAAGATTTCTTCTGGTTGTACCTTTCCGTCTCCCCCATTATTGTTCTTTTTTTTATTTTATAATCCCCTACGTTCCTTACTTTTTTTTCCGTTCTTAAATTCTCATTGTTTTGTGTGGCGCATATATATTTTGTGCCCCCCTGTACCAATATTTGTGTTCAAATAAATAAATAACCTGGTTGGTATCCGCGAGACGATAGCAACCGATGTCAATAGCTCGAAATAATTAAATATATTAGCTTATTTATAGCTGAAGAGAAAGCATAGAAATACAACTAATTCCATTATTTTATTATTTATTTATTTTAACACATAGGTATTGGTACAAGGAGGCACCAAATACATATGCGCCACACGAATCTCAATTGATTTGTGTGAGGGCTGTGATGCTGCCCGGGTGCCCAGACCGAAGTAGGTAGGTTTTCTTAGGGTCCACACCTAGAGCCTTTGACCCAAAGGTCTAGTCCACAAGGTAGTGGATCATCGTAAGGAGATGCAGTCCCATGGTAGCCGGTGACCAACGATTGGTCCATACGCCATTTGTTCCTTGAGGATACTGGAGCCCATGTGCACCATTGATTTGGGATCCGGTTAAAGCGCCAAACATTCGCTTTTCGTCCTCTCATTTTCGTAAACAACACCCGTGGTGTGAGAAGGCAGTGAGTAGGACTTGCCTGGCCGAGGCTGTATACACGTGGCCATGTGAGAGCATTGCGAGAGGGAGAGTGGGCCCATCCCACTCTCGGCCGTACCAGGGCATTTGGGGGCCAATTCCATTGTATTCTCTAAATATCATCGTCCTTTTTTGGCAACCTGCTTGAATATCTAGGCTACCTGTTCCGGTTATTTCGATATTTCAACAAGTTATCTTCTTTTATGTTTGTTCTAACAGATTATTATATCAGTTAATTACATCAGTTATTCATGTTTGTTTCTGAAAAGTGTACAACCTTTCGTTGTACAAGTTACAAAATAGTACAATCCAAGACATCGTGGTTGTTGGCAATATACATTGAAAACAATGTACATTATTCAGATGTCGATTGCTGAACTGCTAACATCTAACTGGAGATCATGCAAATACTTATCAGTAGGATCGATCAAAATATAGGAAACAGAAACTTGTTGAAATACTTTATTCTGAGAATTCTATATTGTACCAAAAATATAATACTGAATAAAGTCTCTAATAATAATAAGAAATTAAACTGTGTTATGTAACTCAAATTGAGTTTCTATCAGCTAATTGTTAATAGTTTGTTTCGATGAAAAATATTGATTACATGATGATGATTTATGTAATCATTCAACACATTGACAACTACTTATAAATTTTATTATTAGTAATAATTAATGTAGGTATTAGTTATACTGTTTAGTTAATTGGATTAAAGTTCAATGAATATAGATTCCTAGTGTAACGCTTTATCAGTTTGACACAGACATTTAACACATTTCTTTGGAAATATGCAAATAGATAAATAGGTAGTGTTCCCTCAAATGCCCTGGTACGGCCGAGAGTGAGGATAGTACACTCTCTCTCGGAATGCTCTCACATGGCCATGCGTATATGGCCTCTGCCAGGGAAGTCCTACTCACTGCCTTCTCGTGGAACAGGTGTTGTTTACAAAAATGAGAGGACGAAAAGCGAATTTCCGGCGCTTTGACCGGATCCCAAACCAATGGTGCACATGGGCTCCAGTATCCTGAGGGAACAAATGGCGTATGAACCAATCGTTGATCACCGGCTACCATGGGACTGCATCTCCTCACGATGCTCCACTGCCTTGTGGATCAGATCTTCAGGTCAAAGGCTCGGGGTGTGGCCCCCTAAGCAAACCACCTGCTTCGGTTTGGGCACCCTAGCAGTATCACAGCCCTCACACATATCCAATGAGATATGTGTGGCGCATATGTATTTGGTGCCTTCTTGTACCGATATTTATGTGTTAAAATAAATAAATAAATAAATCCCTCAAGATTACAGGTACACCTTGCTGACGAGTGCGAAGTAACACGAAATCGGGTCCAGGGTTTCCTGTCGACTACCCCCAACCACCATGTAGTCTCAACATAGTGCACAAAGTGTCGAGTCACCTAGACTGGTGATCACATTGCAACTTGGTCGATAGCATTTGAGCTGCACTAGTAAGGACTTGGCACACATGACATTGATCACCACCCAGTGATCAATCAATTGTGATTACATCTCAGTCCTACAGGAGGTCGATCGCTGCCCAGATAGCTCAATGGTAACGTCTCTGACTATGAAGCTGGATGATACGGGATCGAATCCGTCAGGAAGCACCACTTCCCTCAAAATGACACGTACACCTTGCTGACGAGTACCGAGTAGCACGAAAACCGGGTCTAGAGTTTCCTCTAACCACCATCTAATAGGTAGTGTTACATTTCTATTTCGTTTTAGATTGTGCATTATATTTCAGGTTTTCAATTTCTTCCCTTAAATATTTCCTTTATTATACATGTTTTTATACAGAGGCAATTAGCAAATACTTTATTCTGGAGTTCACTTGGTTCCAAAGCTATAGATTTACTATCAACATTTGGACCGAGCATATTGCAACCATCATCATTATTATCTTCACAAGAACAACGGATTAATTCAGTAAATTTTTCAAATTCTTCATCTATTCATAATACCACACCAACTATAACCCCAACATCTATAGCTGTAACAAAAAGTGGTATAAACGATTTTCCTGTAAATCTATTAAATACTATTACTTCTACTACTACTACTACTACTAGTAATAATAATAATAATAATAATAATAATAATAATAATAATAATATTGACAATCAAGTTCATTGTTGTAGAATTACTGAATCTATTAAAATTCATCAACCGAATACAACATCAATATCAACAATAAATAATCCATCTACTTTATTATTAAATAGTGATTTATTAAGAAATCAATTATTTTTACTTCATTCCAATAATTCTAACATGTCACATCATGTACAAGGTCTTATTAATTTTATAAATAAATCACCAACACCATTTCATGGTAAGTAAATTCATTGTATGATATCTTGTTTACATAATTCTAGTTGATCTGATTATATTCAGTATCATTGTGTTGTTGTTTTTTTTTTTTGTTTTTTTTTGTTTTTAAGGAATATTATCATTTAGTATATTCTCTTTAAATATATAACAAAAAAACAAAGTTCCCATTTTGATGTTAAGGCTTAGAATTGGCCTATATGCATTCTTCTTTCAGATTTTCTCGATATTGTCAGTAAATCATAGTCATTTTAAGCAGAGATAAATTCAAGATGTATGTTTTGTCCTTTTTGGGACTCATCAGCTGAATTCACCTATACAATCATGTTAATTTCATAATTCCATTGTATAAATAAATTGAACTGTTTTGTTGACTTAATTTGTATTAATAGTAATAGTATGAATAAACTAGTTTAAACAAAATAATATTGAAATATACTGAATACATTTAGAATGATTTTACACTTGATATAAATGGTAATAAAATTGTTACAGAATTAATAACCCCGACAGTTGTTGCTACCTTGACATGATGGTCGGGCTTGTTTATCGTGATAAACCAATCGATCTACACTGGCTGGAACAATCGTTCCTCAAATGTCCTACCATGCCAGACAGGTCGGTTGAAGAGTAGTAAGACTAAAAGCAGAAAACCGAAGGTCCGAAAGCGAATTCGTACTGTTGACTGTACAGAGGTGTGACGGTAGTTAGGTGTTTCGTTCAGACAACCAGCATAACAGCGATACTGCCTTCTCGCAAGGAGGGGTGAGGCTAAAAAAAATTGATCCTAAAAATGCACACCTCGCCTTATCCCACAGATATCCGTCTCCGGCGGTAAGATCTCAACACGTACGAAGCTAACACGACCTCAAGCAGTTGTCCCTTGGGCACTGTGGTCACGTCCTTAGGTCACTAAGACCACCTTCAATCCGATTCCTTTTTCAGGTACCTCCAGAAACACCCGTCCACGGTGTGGGTAACCGGCAAATGATAACTGCCCCTCATACTTCTAACAGCACTCAGAATGAATAACTGTAGTTACCTTTTTTCTTCTAGTTATAACTGTATTATAATGTAGCATATAACTACTCAATTTCAAATGATCACATTGATTTATTTTGGTGTATATTATAATGTGTAACAAGGTTATCAAACTCACTCTTTTCTTTTCTTTCTCTCTCTCTCTCTCTTTCTCTCTTATCTGAAAAAATGATATCTAAAATTTAGTACATCTTAATAATTTTCGAATGAACTGTATCCAAGTTAGATTGTCCATTAAATCAGTAATCTCATTGTAATTCATAAATTTCGTTAATGTTTCGTTTCTTTTTTCTTTTCTCTCTCTCTCTCTCCTCCTCTTTATTCTTTTCTTTTTTTTTTACGTTCTTATATGTTTTATTGTAAGTGTACATTTATTTCCAAGTTTTCTATTCTCTCTCTGTCTATATATATATTGAACTAATCTACTACTACTACTACTACTACTACTACTAATACTACTCAATTCTTGGTCAACTTAATGTATGGTATATTTTATCTAGTTATTATTATTATTATTGACTAAGGTTCTGTAGAAAATCATACTGTTTACTGTTTATTCTTGACTATATTTACGACTATTTTTATTTGTTGTGGTATAGATACATACATTGTATCTATACACTTAACAATACTCTCATACTGTACATAAATTTTTATATTAGAATATTCTCATTTACTACTATTATACTGATATAAATTATGTAATAAAAGAAGAAAGGACAATTTTAGTTGAAATTTTGATATGTTTCTTTCTAAACTATCTATCATTTTTCTTTTTTTCTTTTTCTTTTCTTTTTTTGTTTTGTTTTGTTTTACACAGAGTAACTTGATGTTTACACATACAAACATATTCGTTTATTTTCTTTACAATAATAATAAACAACAACAATAACAACAGGTTTAAACCTGTTATAAGCCGTAATTATGTTTTGTATTTTATTTTTCTTCTGAAAATGACAGTAATCATGATAGAGAATAAATAACATTGATTTCATTGTTGAATTTATTAAATTAGATCAGTTTATTTTACTACTTAATGTTTTAGAAACTAGTTGCACACGCACACACACACACACGCACTTACGCGCTCACGCACACACACACACATACATATACACACATGCACACTCTTCACTCTTGTAATAATCAGTTAGCTGATAACATGTATAGAGTATTCCTAGTAGTAGTACAAGAACTCAAGTATGACAAACTAATTTATTGTTTTATGCAATATTACAAAGTTCCTTCGTAAAATATCAAAATCATACATTAAATACATTATTTATATATGTTCCTTCAGTTGTCTTTGATATATTTTATGATTTTTTCAATTCTGTTATTATTCTAATTGTTCTCTTTAATTCAATCTTCTAGTGGCAGACATTTCACTTCCGACTACTGTTATATACTACTTATTTCTGTTAGGATATATAATGCATACACTACAGTATTAGTAGTAATAGTAGTAATATGAATGTGAACACAGGTATGGACAAATAAATGTATTTTAATAGTTGAATTCATGAGTCAATTGAAACTAAACCACCATGGAAAGCCTGGAAACACTGGACGGTCGTTTCGTCCTATTGTAGAACTTTTCAAGAGTGCTCACTCCGTCCTTCATACAGAATCGTGGATGCGCACTACTGATGAGTCCATTACGACCGTCCAGTTTTTCTAGGTTTTCCATGGTGGTCTAGCTTCAATTGACTCATGAATTCAAATATTAAATTATTAAAATCTCCATAAAATGTGTAAACGATACGTTCAATACTACCTTTGCAAATCGTTCATCAATTGTTTTAAACTTCACCGCTTCTTCAATGCTTTAACAATGGTTGAGATCATGAGTCTAATTTCAATTGACTCATGATCTCAACCATTGGAATTACTACATTATCCACTAAACCCCTTAGGATATGAATCAGCATATACTCACTGGTGATTGACTTCAAGAGGTATTTCCTGGAGTTCTAGTGAGAAGCAGTGATCAGTGCAGTCCAATCGGATCTGTTGTGAAATAGTAACTGACTGATGACAATGGTGGATGTGTTGCTCAATTTCGTGGATTGATTGAAGTTAGATATTAACAGCGTTGGATTCCAGTCAGTTCATTGGTCTAGAATTTAAGCGCTTGTGCGCGAGACTGATAGGTCTATAGATTCGAATCTCGCGAGATGAAATCATGGATGAGCGATTCTGAAGAGTCCTACGATGGGACGAAACGGCCATCCAGTGCTTCTAGGTTTTTCACGGTGGTCTGGCTAAAATTGGCTCATGATCTCAACCATTGTTAATCTTTTTGTTCATAAAATTTTTCTTATCTAACAGTGATATACTCGTACCTTGTGTAAGTTGTAAGATTAAAATATCATTATTTGTGTTTCATTTAAAGTGTTCTACAATTTCATGGTCTGAAAGAGATGGAGGTTTTTGTTATTAAAGAATTTTAGCAATGATTAGAGAAAGATTTTAACGATAGAAAAAATTTAAGTACATCATTTAAAACTTAATATACTTATAATGTTTACATCACTTAGGAAAAACAGTTACCATATCAACTATATATACTAATTGTTGAATACAACTGTTATGATACAATACACTATTTTAGAGATTAAATATTTAGAATTATTATCAGAAAGGGGTTTTTGTGCATATTATTAAGTAATTTAATAGTTGAGATCATAAGTCATTTGAAATTTGCAGTGTTTCCAGGTTTTCCATGATGGTCTAACTGCAATTGAATCATAATCTCAACTCCTAAATTTAAAATTATCTTTACAAAAATCTGAAAAAAATCCCAGATGAAATTCATAAAAGTAACTATCTGTTACTAGTTTTATGGTTGTCACTTTAACAATATTTTTTAATTTCATTTTAGTCTTTATCAGTATAGGATTGTGGAGATTAAGTTTTTAATTGAGATCATGAACTGATTGATGTTAGACTACCATTGAAAACTGGGAAGTACTGGACGATCGATTCATTCTATTGTGGGACGCCTCAGCAGTGCGCATCCATGATCTCGCCTCGCGGGATTCGAACCCAGGAATTTCAGTTTCGTACGCAAACACTTAACTTCTAGATCATTGAGCCAGTCGGTATCCAATGTTGTTAATGTCTAACTTTAACCAATCCACGAAATTTCGCGACCATCTTCCATTGTACTGAGGTAGATACCTATCTCTACCTGATACGAATTAGCTCCACTGGTCACTTCTTCCCTCACGAAGGTAGTCACTAGTGCTCACATACTAATTATCAATGTGGGGTTGTGGAGATTATTAATTTTTTTCGTTGTTCTTCAAATATATCAATTATTTAAGATATGGTTTATAAAAGTTTATATCATCATGTTTCCAACTTATTAACTCTTTCAACTCGTTATTTATTCAATGTTCATCATTTGAATATTATGATACATGATTTACGTATACATTTACTTTCATTTATATTTTTCTATTTGTTATTGTTGTTGTTTGAAATGGTACATTAAAAGAGAAACCTTTAGGCTGCTCTATCAGTGTTGTTATTGTTATTGCTTGCAATGGTATATTATAAATGAAAGATTTAGGCTACTCTATCAGTGTTGTTGTTGTCGTTGTTGCTGTTGTTTTTTCTTCTGTATTAATAATGAACATAAAACATTGAATTCCGTTAGCCTTAATATATGTATAAAGCAATTAGTCCCTGTTATAAATTTCGATAGAACAATCAGAAGATGGAGTTGATCTGAAATGAAAATGTGATGTATTTGCATTATACATTACGAACAATCTGGTCACACATATACATTTGTCAAGAGATTTTTTATATGAAAATTAATAAAGAACAATGAAATAAAAGTTCAAGTTAAAAAAAAAACAAGTAACAAAAGGGGGGGGGGAGAGAACACAATTTTACATCGTATAGAAACACTAAATAATTGTCAGGTTATCTTAGGTCATAGAATGACTTAAA